GTTTTAGAAAAAGCTATGCGAATTAAGAAGGCTTATATATATATATTACACGTTATATAAACAAATATATAGAAGTTCCGTGGACAAGCCATTCGATAAGTTTTCTTATATAACTATACACAAAGATAGGAGTATAATAGGTAAAAAAAACAGAACATTAATCAAAATTTATTCAAATGTGACATTTCTGCATACTTACTTGACGTGTACACCGAGAATGTGTTTATAGAACGATCGCGTAAAATAGCATTCAAGCAACTTATTATCGTAGATAGCCTTAGCTATAAAGCGTCCAACAAATTTGAAATACGACAAGTGGTTACTGTTAATATAAGAACTTGGGTTTATCGTGTAGGTAACGCGATCTGCTGGCGAAACACGAAATAGACAATAATTTGGATTGAAGATCTCTCGGCTCATCAAAAGATACCACTCACGCAAGAGACCTCCCGCATCTTGGCCTTCTTCGTCTATGGATGAAAACAAATAAATTAATTGCGAAGCACAATAAAATTCAATCCATCAAAGATTTATAAAATTTTCCGTGTGACCAAGCAATATTTTACTCATAATTACACTATTAAAAATTTCAAGATGGTTAGGTAGGATTATATATATGCATAAAGTTAAATTATATTTTGAACGAATAGTTAAAAAAGTCAGGCTGAAATATGAATTTAAGGGAAAAAGCACAGTAAAGTTTTTCTGATCAGAAGGAGAATCGGCATAAAAATAATTTGGATATAAAATAATTTGCATGGCTTTAGGTAAAGGCAGTTAAAGAGCCGGCTTCAAAATTTACACGCACTTATGAACTAGCCGAAAATCCCGTCAAACCCTCTTAAAACGCCAAAGCATAACAGAGTTTTAAACATACTTTGGAACCGAATGACAAATTTGTGTTTCCAATCTGATGGGGATTTTCGATGAAGCCGGGCATAACTATCTTCGAATATTCGTTCGCGAGAGATAATAATCGGCTCATCGTCATAACGACTGCCATGAGGCCTAGCGACAAGTTGCTGCAATTGTTGTCTGAAAAATCTGCGTTTAATATCAAAATCAATGCATCGAGGATAAGCCAAAAATACAACAAATGGTGAGTCTCCAAGAGAGGCTTGAGTATATTGACGGAGGAGCTGATTAAGGATAGAGCGGTGCCGTTCAGCAAAAGCAAGAATAGGATTTAATGAAGATGATGATGGATTTTCAGTGTGAAGGAGAGGAGTAGGATTGCTTTTCTGAACTGATTGCTGCAGAGAGGCGTGATGTAGAGGCAACAAAACTCCTGAATCGGCGGCAGGAGGCGAGACGGGTCCAGCTATTTCGATCTAAGTAGATATGGCGAAAAATATAATAAATTATTAAGAATTAACTAATCGCAAAATTCACACATATATACAAAATTAATCTACATTTTTCTCCAAAACAAGTTAAGTGATCCTCATTCAATAAAGTAACTTACACTTACTCATATGACAAAATGATCAAAGAAAAGAAACCAGACTACATTGTATGATTGGTGACCTACTTGAACCGAGTTATTTCAAACATCATGTTTACTATCAGTAAAGCATACTCTGCTGAACTACTTATTCCCACTTGATAATACTTGCTCAGCTAAAATAGGGTCTACTAATTTCTTACAAAATTGGTTATTTGTTCTTATGGCAACCACAGCTGATTCCTAAAGTTTCTGATAGCAGATCCGTTATACGCCGACCCGATTCACTTTCTGTCCACATTCTAATCCCATCCAATAAGTATCCCCAAAGTAAAATGCTTCCATACACTCTCTACAAAGTGTTCTCGCAACTTATGCCTAAAGTCAAGATTAATAGTGAATACCAGCGAGGCTAGTAAATATTAGTAGCTAAACATTATTGACTATTCAGCAAAATAATCGTACTGTACACATGTATACTACATACTAGCATATCCTAAAAAGTTACATTAACAAAGCTAGATAATAGCTGAAGCTATGGTGAATGATTAATTGTATGCAAATAGGCTGGCCCGATATAGACATAAGAAATAAAATTAATGTGTTTTTCGTATATAAGAAGAGTTTCAAGATCACCAGTTATATGAGATTTATTCACCCTATTTCGTTTAAGGCGATGAATGACTGGTAGTAGAATTTTCCCACAGTGATATGAGTAGAGCTGAGGTTTCCATTGCATTTCACATAGCTTTGCTTTCCCTAAAGTTGCTTGCATCCAGGATGGACT